GCTCTGGTGCCTCCACATCTTCCCTCGCATGACGCTCTGGTGCCTCCACATCTTCCAACATTTCCAACTCATGCTGTTCATTTTCACCCGTGGGGATCAACTGCCAAGCCAGGTAAGATAGGTAAGCAACTGGAAGAAATGCAGCCAGGAAAGACACCAAGCCGACACAGGCGTTCATCGCCTGTTTCCAGGCAAACTCTACAGGCGTGCCGGTCTGCTGAAATGGTTTTACATTCACTTTTGCAACATCTTTCTGTGGCGTGATGTTGATCGCAATTCAAAACCATCTAAATCCATCTAGCATCATTCACTTGATACTTCCGTGTAAAATCCGATGGATACATGTAACAATGTAGGACACATCAGAACACTGCCACAACCTGTTCAAGGTAATATCTGAAAAACAATGTCAATGATCCAAAGATATCCTATGGTCTAGGAGTCTAGGGTGACATTCTCCAAACTCGTGTTTATTGATGTGGCTATGAGTGCTACTGCTTCAGAATTTGTCTTTCACCATTGTGATCTGCACCTCTTCCTCTTCTGCAACCTCCTTCACAAAAGCTTCATGTTCCTGACATCCCAAGACCGGAGCTTGGGACAGCCAACTGCACTGAATTCATTGGTATAGGCTCCAGTATGCTCCTCTCTTACTATTCACGTTCAGTCAACTCAGATTGCTGATATTGCGCCACAGAAAAGGCTCCACCTCGTGTTCAACATGCTAAGTGAAGGTCTCCTAGCATCTTTTCATCAGCCATTCACTTGAATGGCGCAATTGGTGTTGCAGATTTTTAAATGGCGTGATGTTGATCGCAATTCAAAACCATCTAAATCCATCTAGCATCATTCACTTGATACTTCCGTGTAAAATCCGATGGATACATGTAACAATGTAGGACACATCAGAACACTGCCACAACCTGTTCAAGGTAATATCTGAAAAACAATGTCAATGATCCAAAGATATCCTATGGTCTAGGAGTCTAGGGTGACATTCTCCAAACTCGTGTTTATTGATGTGGCTATGAGTGCTACTGCTTCAGAATTTGTCTTTCACCATTGTGATCTGCACCTCTTCCTCTTCTGCAACCTCCTTCACAAAAGCTTCATGTTCCTGACATCCCAAGACCGGAGCTTGGGACAGCCAACTGCACTGAATTCATTGGTATAGGCTCCAGTATGCTCCTCTCTTACTATTCACGTTCAGTCAACTCAGATTGCTGATATTGCGCCACAGAAAAGGCTCCACCTCGTGTTCAACATGCTAAGTGAAGGTCTCCTAGCATCTTTTCATCAGCCATTCACTTGAATGGCGCAATTGGTGTTGCAGATTTTTAAATGGCGTGATGTTGATCGCAATTCAAAACCATCTAAATCCATCTAGCATCATTCACTTGATACTTCCGTGTAAAATCCGATGGACTTGTCTCAAATTTCTCACATTCAAGTCGCAAGGCCTGAGCGACATCGCGGGCAAGCTCTGCTTCCTCGTCGGGGAGTCATCGGAAAACATGCCACGAGGAGCATGCGAAACGTTTGTTTCGGTTATTGCTGGTTTAAGCGTGAATCATTCAGCTCTCGTTCTTTCTGCCACAGGAGTCGCTCGAGCTTCTCCTGTCACCAGCGAGAGGCTGTGGAGCACTCAACACACCGATCACCTGCAGTGACTGGCTGCCAGCTGCCAGCTGGCCTTTGGCGTCAAGGTCAGACCCATTTCGATGTCCTCAGAGCAGTGTGAACACAAACCTCATCAGCTTGTTTGAAACAGTGCCTGCTGTTTCTGGCAGTAATTGGGAGGAGAAGATGCAACAAACAGCTACAAGACACAATATAGTTGGACCATCTCAGCATCTAATCTAATCTATTTTGTCCGAGCTTCTTCCAGAGTGCGCATGGTCGGCGGAGCCTCTCGGCGACATGGGTGGCGACGGCAACATGAACATGATCGATATTCGGTGCAGGCCCAGCTCAACCAAGAGCAGTTTTGTACCAAAACAAAATGGGCTGATCCCGTCAGTGATGCAAAATGCCATTAGAAACTGGTCCTCATCCTTTCACGCCCTGGCGACCCAACTAAACCACATGAAATCCAGGAGGCTTCACTCTCTAACCAAACCACATCAAATCCAGGAGGCTTCACTCTCTGAGGTGTCCCGGGCTGTCACCGGCTTTGCCCTGCCTGGGTGGTTGGCGTTGACGAACATTCGCGCGCTGCAGGCCTCAGAAGGCAGCGACCATGAGGGCTGACCGTGTTTTGCGGGCGGAGCAGTCCGAACGGCATCGGCATTGAGTGAGGCCCTGACGTTCGGCACAGCATCCAAAGGATAAAGTGCATGAAGAAAACGATGGCGAAAGCAGCAAAAAAGGCCTGAGAACGCACGAAACAAAAACAAAACGAAACCAATGAAGCGCATTGCCCGTGCAAACGAAAGCCATCCACTAATCCCATCCCTCTCCAGCCGCCAGCCCAAACTGAGCACAGAACATGCCCGAAACCGGCTTTGTAGCCCTGGAACGCCAGGACAGGTTCAGAAGGGAACCATGAACGTCTGACCACAACGGGGACAGGCTATTTTATATATATATATATGTGTGTGTGTGTGTGCGTGTGTGTTTTTTAACTCGCACTGCACACTGCCTTACCTCCACCTGCTATAGATTGGTCGCCGGCTGGGTTGTTCCAAGCTTGTGTCTAAGAACTGGACAGGGCCACGAAGCCAGGGATGAGCAAAGTCATCGCAGCAAAGGCGTGTGCCAAACAAACTGATAGTGCTTGAGCGAAAGGGCTCTGCAGAACAGAACGCGCGGAATCCATTCATAGATCCATGCCGAAGTAGGGCCAACATGGGCCAACCACTGGAATCCTCGGCGCAAAAATGAGGATTCCACAGATACGCAGCCGAGCATGAGTGCACCTTGGGCCTTTTGGTTGAGCACATGCTGCATGTTGACAAGAATGGAGGGCAAGTGGCAGCACACAGGACATCAAACTGCTGGATATCCAAGCACACAGGATTTATTTTTTAGGTTCCAAGCTAGAAGCGCTGCAAATCACCGCCAGTGCCAGCACAATCACCAGTCACGTGTAGTAGGGGGGTATCTTCAGGCGATAGGTGTCAATTACCAGTAGATGAACCACTGTGAAACATGAGCGTCATATTGATCCCGCATCACACGTCGGCTGAGGAATTTGCCGCTGAGCTGAAGTCACCACCAGATGCGCCCGCTTCGCATGCTTCCACTTCTCAAAGGGCTGGGGAGGTACCAGCCGATCCTGCCATGGAATTTCTGCTGTTCGGGGAGCGCTGGTTGTTCAAACCGAAGTTATCACTCAATTCATCTTACTTCAAATTACGCATATGTATACGTACATATATGTGCATATATATATATATTTATTTATATTTATTTATTTATTTATTTATATCTATATTTGTTTATTTATATATTTTTTTATTTATTTATATATATATATGTATATATTCACGTACATATGCATACACATATGCATACGCATAAGATCTACATAATTACATACATATGCATGCATACATGCATATATATATATATACATGATGTGTATATGTATAAGTTCTCTTCTGCCTTACTGCGCGCCACGGCTGAGTGTGAATGGGCACGGATGTGCTTTTTTTCGGGGCCCAACACGGAAATTTCGTTCCAAAAAGTACAGCAAGTTGAAAGCACATTTGGGCAAAGTACACCTTGTTTCTTTGGATCCTTCCTTCTTTTGACAGCGGTTCTGTACAGTCTGTGGCTACGCTGCGACGCAATGCTGCACCCTGCGTATGAAATGCCGCCGCTTGCTGACGCACATGAACATCCATGGAGGAGCAAAGGCCTGTTCAGCTTGTTTCACCTGCTTCTGTCCCATTCTCCCTTCCTCCTCACACTCAATCATAGGGTCCTGGCCGAAGAGCTGCTCAAGCATGTCAAAATCACCAGGGAAGTTGTGAAGAGGCCGTTGAAATGGATCTGGACGTGCTGGAGGACGGGATGAAGCTCGCACATGCCTGATTCAATTGATGGAGTGATCGTTGAAAAAGGCCATGATCCTCAAAGTCCACAAAACCAAGAGGTGAGTTGGTATCATCACTCCTCGAGGAGCCAAGATCCGAAAGGCAAGTATCCTGCTGTCCTGCTGATCCATGTCTCCTACAAACACCTTGATGTAATCTCCGTCAGAGATGTGCAAGGGAGATGAGGATTGCTCATCAATGACCACATTGTTTCGCCACAAGTGGCATTGATCAGCACGAACATCACAAAGAGAAGCAAGTCCAAGTTCTCTCAGAAGTGGGGCTCTGTCGTGACGATATCTAATCCACATGGGGAAGCGCCTGAGAGGTGCCAGTTGAACATCATTCTCCACATGAAGGTCCCTGTCCACCAGAACCAGGCTCATTTCCCACCGTTTCCCCTCCGTCCACCCTGTGGTCGCTTCCATCTCGCTCCTTCCCCACGGAGCTCTCCCCAAGCTATTTCCCACGGTTTACCCTGTGGTCACTTCCGTATTGCTCCGTCGCGGCAAGTGCAACTAAAAAACGAGAACCCAAGCATCCGAGATGCTTTTGGGAAAAACAGTCAATTTGAAGAGCAAAGGACTCAAGATGACTCAAGTAGCATTACATTTCTCAACATATCGAAACTTACCACGCCCAAATGAACAAACGAGTTTGACATTTATCTGAGGTATGCATGACTTTGGGCCGGATGTTTGGAGTCTGGAGCTTTGTGCTGTGGGGTTCAGATGGGTTCAGGCATGTGCGATATCTGGAGAACAAACAGCAAGGAAAGGAGGAGGATGGAGACGGAAGGTGAGGAGACTGAGGAGACATGAAAATCAACTTGTCATTTTCATTTTTTATCTGTCATGAAGTCATGAGTTGATTTTCATGTCATGACATGTCAGATCTTAAGAGCCCAACTTGGGAAGCTTACGGGAAATAGTTCGCCCACTCCAAGATAAGGCAAGCAGCATTCACGGTCATTCGACGTCTCCTTTTCACTGGACTCGCCTTCCAGAAATTCGACATGCAGCGAGGCAAGAGGCCAAGACTGTCACGCTTGAGCACGAATGGAATCTTATAACTTCCTGGAGTTCCACATCAAGAACATATGATCCGGATAATTCACCATATTGTTTCACATATGAATACATCTACATATATCCACATATCTAATATCCATGTAAGCATATGTCATCGTCATCGTCATCATCATCATCATCATCGGCGTCGTCGCTGTTGTCGTCGTTCTTCTCATCGTCATCCTCATCGTATATGTCCAGGCCTTGACCTCCGATTCATCCTCTACATCCTGCCAAATCTGATCAGATCTGCAGCACAAGAAACGATTAACACAAGAAAAACGACATGATACGACATGATACGACATGACTTGGCCATGACATGCCATTTGACTTCACGCCATTCCGTTTGCATTGTTGGCTCTCCATTGCCGTCAATATCTCATGTTTTCGCATTTCTCGGCATGTCTAAAATGTCTTAGCATTTCTCAGCACCCAGCAGCCCTGCACTTTCGTGGCCTTCGCTTCACATATACTGTCAAACGCCAAAACAAAATTTGAACAAACTAAATATAGCGACAATGGCGTGAACGAATGTGAACTGCAGAAAACTGCGAAAAGCTCTGTTTGGAAAATTGTTCAATTTTCATGCCGCCTCTTGCTCTCTCCGTGTCCAGGCCTAGGCTGGCAGTCGCAGCTAGATTGCTATGGCAGCGATTGCTCTATGATCTCTATGTGCCAACCTGCTTGCATCCTGCGAAGCTATCCAGGTTTCAAGATGTTTCAAGTATCTTCTTGTATCTTCTAGCATCTTCTAGCCCTGCTAAGCACCGGACTGCTTTCGACTTCTGCTCTGCTTGGCAACAGTCATCTTTGGACCTATTGGTAAAAGATGGTAAAAGGCTGAAAAGAATTTGAGGCAATGATGTGGGGCACAAGTTTCACCACAGTTTGAGATGTCGTGAGCCAGCCTTGGTTCCAATGGTTGCGTTTACACGACAAAACATCCAAAAACATCCAAAAGCCAAAACGCTGAAGTGTCACACGAGATGTGAGCAACGCTGAATGATGTGGAGCCATACGGATCCATATACGGATCCATGTGCCATGTCAAGTCATGTCAAGTCATGTCAAGTCATGTCAAGTCACAAGTCACAAGTCATGCCGAAGTCTCCCGGATGCCGGAGGCATCACTTTCTCTTTCTGGTTGCAGTTTGGAAATGTTTGGAAGTTTCATGAAGTTTCTTGTATCGTGTTGCTACTTTCCGAATGTTGATGCAAAGAACACAAAGTTGAGAGTGTTTTTCGGCCTTTTTGCTCTGGAAGCTTTTGCTGAATCTGAATACCTTTGACGTGTGTTTCTTGTCAGGGTCTTTCGTTGCCACCCTTTCACATTCAAAGTATGTCGTCATATTGCCTCAGGCTTGCTGAGTTGCTCTTTTGCTTCAGGTAAAGTAAAGTAATTTTCTTTGGCCGATCATATGTTGCCCCCGCCCAGAGGGGCCCAAGATTTTCAGAGCTGAGAGAAGCAAAGCTTCAAGTCATTCTGGCCATTCTGCTGCCTGTGACGGGTCCTTCGTGCTGTCTTGCATCTGGTGCTGTACACATATAACCTGAATTAATCTTAATCTTAATATATCTTAATTATATTATATCATTTGTGTTTACTTCCTTGCTTTGATGCATGAGTAACTTGCATGAGAATGGGGTTCTGCCCAGGCGACCGCTGTTTGTTCAGGCGCCACAAGCGTGGCACTTTTGGCCGTTGAATTTCCTTGGTACAGCTCAGCATGGCTCAGCGTGGCGTCGAGGCTTACGTGGTCATGGAAGAACGTAGAGCTTGGCTCAAACGTCTGCCACCATTGGCAGGCAAACGAGCCATCTTTGTAGCGATACGAAGCTTGGACCAGTGTTTCTCTTTCTTTTCCTGGCATGAGAGGTAAAAATAAGTATTGCTGAGGATGTGAAAGGCACTGGATGTCACAGCAATTGCATTGCTTAGCTAGAGCCGCTAGGCCGCTCGGGTGTTATAATGTGTTATAGATATTGCCCTCGAACGTACTTTTGGGCTTTGTGGAACGGCAATCGCAATTTATGCAATTCCAGTGGAGGCGCTTTTAGATCTGCATAAGTCATAAGTCATAAGATGTCATAAGTCATCAAATTCGTCCGATATCTGATTGATCTGATCCTCATGAAATTTCGCTTGAAGTTTGTTCCATGTTCCGTTGTTCCGTTAGATGTTCCGTTAGATGTTCCAAGTGTCCTCTTTTGGTTGCAGAGCTTCCTTGTCCAGGTGCTCCTGGAGCCATCGCCATCTCCGTGAAAAGATCTGGAAAGTTTCTGAAAAGCAGCTGCAAAGATATCGTGTCCTTCAGTACTGACTGATATTCACCATATTTCACCATATTTGACCATGTATGTTGTCTGATATGTTGTCTGATATATGTTGTCTGATATGTTGTCTGATATGGTGCTGATATGGTGCTGATATGGTGCTGATATACAATTACATGCCATTACCATTTGTGTTTCATATATTGCCATTGCTTCATATTGGCTTTGTAGTGCTTCATAGTGCTTTATATGCTCCTGGAGCCTCTGCACCAGCTTTCCAAACAAAGGCCTCTCCTGGCGACTGCAGCGACTGCACATCGTCAACATCTCTGCGCTCAGTGGTCCAAGGCCGACTCAGGCTGATAAGTGGATAACAAAATATAACAAACGTGTTCAAATGCTGAATTGTGTGAATAGTGTGAATTGTATTGAATTATGTCATTGTCGTGTCCTTTTCGTCTTTTGTTTTAGTTCTAGTCAAGTCCTCTGAGCCATTCTCGAATTCGTAGCTGAAGGTCTCTGGGAAGACCTCGTTGATCCTGGCCACGAAACACTCCAACTGTTCCGTCTTTTTCCAACTGTCCCGTCTGCCATTCTCCGATTCTCGTGTCTTCATGAGATCTTGCGACCGTGTTCTCAGCTCCTCTCCGAGAGATGCTGGTGAATTTCTTTCAGGTCGGCAAAAGCTCTCTTGTCCTTGGCGATTCGACAAATGTCCAGAAATCCACACGAAAACAACTGAGAAGAGCATTCATGAATCATGTAGAATCATGTATGAATTAGATTGATTTAGACATAAGATATCGTTCATTACAATTCAGTAAGTGTCTACTATCATTATATTTCTGATGATTTCACACATGAGTGTGATTCATGGATTCCTATGGATTCCTCACATGACTTGACCAGGGAACATCTGCGGATGCCTCGCTCTCATCCTTGCGTTCGCTCTCATCAGCCTTGGTGAAAAGGCCAGAAACTGGGGGAATGAACATAGGCATTACTGGTGGCCACTGGTGGATTGCAATGGCAATGGCATAAATCACACAGTTGGCAAAGTGATCAAAGTGTTGACAGCTTGAACGCAACTAGTCCTCTGGATCCGTGTGTCTCCTCACTGCTTTCTTGGATTGGTCATGTGTTGTCTCATGCATTCTCCGTACGATCATTACAAATTACACATTTGTTGGAATGATTGTAATATATTGTAATGTGATGTAATGTATCATGATTGTGTGCACAATTGAAATGTGTCATGATGATCCATTATGTAATCATTATGTGCCATTGTTTCATATATGTTTCATATATGTTTCATCATCTTTTTGGTGCTTTGCGATGCGTGCCACGCTGACAGCCTGAGGCCTAGGCTTGACTGCGAATGGTTCTGCAAAGCTGGGCCCACAAACCCAACATTGGCACAACGAGGCCTGGAAGGTCCAGGTCGATGCGACAGCAAATGAGATCAACATACTCAGACTTTCTCAGACGCTGAATTTTTACAAAATCACAAAGTCACTTCCATTTTGCGTTCAACAAAGTGTGACGCCTGCTTCAATCAATGGCAATGAAAATAACAAAAAATGTGGAAAAATATGAACAACTTAGCCGTTGAGATCGGTTGAGATCGGTTGAGTCTCGTGCGTTCTCGATCGCACATGTCCATCCCAACATGCTTGCGCCTGGGCTCTCAGGAATCAACAGGGCGGAACGGGTGCAGAACAGGTTCTTGTTTCTACATTTCTAGATGTTTCATCCGGAAATGAGGGGGTGTTCCTGATTGGTTCATAAATGATTCATAAACGTTCATAAGGTCATAAATGGTTAATTGATGTTAATTGATTCATCGGTTTCCAAGGGTTTCCAAGGGATTCCAAGGGATTCCAAGGGCTGATGCTCGGTGGTAGCGGTCGCTCCTGCAACAGGTCAGTTCTCCTTTGAAGACTTCGATGGATTGCTCCAGCCATGCCTCGAATCCGACAAGAAGAGATTGACATAGATTGACAACATTTCACAACATGTTTTCAACATTTCACAACATTTCACCACAACATGTGTTTTTTCACAGTTTCACAAGGGTTTCACGAGGAGACAACAAGTTCTGACAACATCAACAAGAGACAAATTTGACAATCACCTGACAACAAACACAAATCCAAGAATTGATGAAGTCTCAGTAAGTCTCAAGTCTTGTGCCATTTGGGAAGTGATTGTTTTTCAGCATTGTTCAGCCTTCTCCATTCTCCACTTTTGAAAATCCGAAAGATCGCAAAGCCATGCTGAGCAACCAGACAGGTTCATCATTGAGGCGCAAGAAACCAGGCATCGATTGGCTGGGCCGTTTCTTCTTGGCTAAGAACATGTTGTCACCCGCCTGCGCCTGCAGCATCAAATACATCAGCTGCATCGCATCCACATCGACCCACGGCTATCCACGTGTTGCATCTGCCCTTCAGTCTTGACATCTTCAAACATCTTCAAAATGAATGACACATTAATTCATATTAATTCTACCATTCAAACATTCTGAATTACGTAAACAAAACTTTCAAAACCCTGAGCACACCAGCAAGTGGGACAGTTGCTCTGCCCTGCACCTTGGTGGCAACGAAACTCCACTCAACAAAAAAGGAATTCTCGCAGTTCGCTCATGATATGCTGCATGATATGCTCATGATTATAGCAATTTATAGCATAATATGCTTGTCTGATTGCTTATCTGATTGCTTCACTGCAATAGGTCTCAAACCAAGCTCGCTTTTTGTAAGTGTCTTCATCGCACAAGACACCCTCCAGATCCTGTTCAGCTTCATGGTCTTCATGAGACAGAAGTGCGATAAAGCATTGAATGTTGCTGGAGTCGGTCGAATTGCAGGACCGGGGGAAGTAGATATGCAGACACGACAAAGCAACACAGGTGCAGAATGGTGCAAATTCCAAGAGCATCGGAAAGATTATCAAACATTATCAAAGATTATCAAAGATTATCAAAGATGATCAAAGATTGTAGAACGCTTCAGTCTGCATGTTCTGCATGTTCTGCATTGCATCACATCCTTATGGTCCACTTTTGGCGCCACGACGATAAAGGCAGAGACCTGACAAGCCATCGTGGTGTCGCCATCATCCGTCTTCAGCTTTCTCTTCTTTCTACATAATCTACAGACATACCGTTATGATCCGTTATGTATGTATGTATCTCTTTATGTGATTGTAGATGATCATATACTTGCTGGACCAAGGAGATAATCAATCTACAAACACTCTTAGACTCTAAGTCTATTTTACAATAGTTTATACAGATTATACACATGTCCAATGTTTTATATGTTTCCTTTGCGAGGCAATCCTCATATCTCTAGAAATATGTTTCTGTATATGTCTCTATTTGTATTGGTTCATCGTGTTTCTAGCTCTTGTATGCTCTTGTATGCTCTTGTTACTGTTACATCTGTTTTTGATCTGGGGTGCAGCATGGGGTGCGTGGCGCAGCTCACCTTTACGCCTTTACAGGTCTTTCCAGTGCATTCCTGTGCCTTGGCTGCATAAACTGTGAGAGAGTTGATCGCAGCTGTCTGGGATGGTCGGTGCCTGCAATGGAGAAGCCGATCCTTGATACACTTGACGTAGATGGGGGTGAGAAGCACAGTCAGCACTTCAAAACGTTCAAAACGTTCAAAACGTTCAAACACACACGTGAAACTAAACAATAACTAAACACATGTCAAAATGTTTCGATATCGTGAGCCTCTGGGGAATGGAGCTGTAGTCGAGCCAAACGTAGGTGTCCTCAAGAGATGTCTAACTCTTCTACAATGTCTACACTTGACATCACTTGACTCAGGGATCTCTGGGAAGATCCGCAACTTCTTGTCCTTTAGTCCTTTACTCGTTGTCCGTTACTCGTTGTCCGTGCGTCTCCAAGAGAAGTCTCCAGGTTTTCACTCGTGCCTCCGTATCCCAGTTGTTCTGATTGATGACGGTGTCTACCGCCTCCACCATTCCTTTGTACTGCTCGCCTGTGAACGCAGCTGCCACACGGCTATATCTTCGAAATTCTATGCAGTGAGCCCTTCCGTGCCCACACCCATGTCAGTTTTCTGCGTGTTCTTCAGTCTAGAACGGTCTATAAGTATGCCATAGTATGCCTAGGTTGGTTCAAAGACGTTTTCTTTCCATTGACTGAACATGTGCCCAGCTGCAGTCCTGTGTGATCTGGTTCAGAGAAGGCTGTCCACTGATGCGACATGAAAATCACCTAACAGCGACAGTCTCAGGTAGTGGTACTGCAAACAAATCAACATGACAAAAGAATTTGAGAACAAATAGTATAATATAGTATAATATATAGTATAATATAGTATAATAAACAAAAATACATAACATGGATCAAATGAGCTCCAATCATCTCCAATCCCTCAATCGACCTAGGAATACCTAGGATCTACGGGAACATCGAGCATATGGAGCATATTTTTAGCACATCGAGAACGAAGACTCGTGACTTGGCCACTTGGCCACTTGGCCTTGTTCTTCTTGCCCAGCTTGTTCTTGATGTCCTCCAAAGTCGGAGTCGCAGCTGCTATACTCTGCTATAATCTCCTAGAGTCCTAGAGCTTGTTCTTAAACATGTCTTGATTTCTCATAAACCTTTCTTAACATGTCTCAACTCATTGAAATCTCGAATGTATCTACAGACTCTCTGGACACAAGTGTCATTCAACGTGTCAGAAAGGCGGAAAGTATCCTTGGTGAGGAAGTCATCGATATCCTGGTTTCTGGTCGTTTCGAGAAAGGCAACTGTCAACATGAAAAAGAGTTGCTTTCAATGTTTTCAATATATTTGTCACACATGTAACAATCAAGACTAAGTGTGGGAAACTCATTGTGAGTTTTTGCGCCTGAATAGTATGGAGCCATAAGCTCTCGTTCAAAATATCCTCGAACGCAACAAATTTGCCGTGCTTCTTGAAAGTTGCAACCTGCATTGGGGAAAGGGTGAGGAAAATTTCGAACACCATGTCACCGGGATGTTTCTTACCGTGTGGCGTCCCGTTGTGTAATGATGTATTACGTGATTGATTAAATCTCTCATTGATTCAATTATTGAGTCTGTCGTCTTTCATTAACGGCACAACCGGAAGGCGACTCCGTAAGGTAAATGACAAACCATTTTTGAACCATGGGAAAGGCCTTCAAAAGCACCATGGGGAAGGACAACTCTTGCGTCGCTTGCAGTGCCTTTGCGATGGTGCTGTGTTCCTGTCATGTCGAGAAATGTGAGATCGACATACAGAATGATTCCAAAATACTTATAAAATTTATAAATGTACATGAAATGTAAATGAAATGCAAGTCTCGCAAGATAGACCAAAATCATCCCAAACGCTGTGTGTTGCAACGATATTGCAACAATATACTGTCGGAAAGATAGTGAAAGTGGAGCAAACTCACAATCCAAATAATCCAAGAATCTTGGATGCAGAGACACAAAACTTTGAAAGTCTCAACTTCAAGATTAAAGAATGATTGCTGGGCAGCTCACTAATTCAGTAGAAACATGCGCATTCTTGATATGCCGATGCCTTTGCCATGTCATCATAGTATTTCCGCAGGAAGGAACTCACCACTCGATACAAGATGATGAAGAGTACCACTGTTGCGATCACCGACCTTGCAAAGTGCTGAAAACCAAAGCTTAAAGCTGACCGAAAAGCAGTAGACTAAGATAGGCTAGACTAAGCAATACTAAGCAGTGCATGATAGTGCATGGCTACATAGGCTGTATCCTGGTGACTTCAGGCTGAATCCTGGTGACAGTCACAGTCTGTTCGCTCAGCCAAGGACACAGAAATGCCACTGACTTGCAACAAGGTCTGAGGTTTTTTCTGCCGGGTAAAGGAGAACCTCAGTCGCGACGAGAGAGATATGTTGATATATTTTGATGATATTCGTTAAGATCTGTCATAGCGTCATAGCGTCATATAGTGTCATATAGTGTCATAGTCATTGTTTTGACTGATCTTGAGTATTCTGAAGTCATCTTTAGATTTGTCTGGATATGAAGTTTGGTCTCGTGATTTGAGCGCCCCAAACATCCCCAAACCATACCCAAAAGGCCTTGTGCTGGTGCGTGTGCGGAAGCAGTTGCCAACGTCATCTGAAAGATCTGGCTGGACCTGAGTTGAAAAGCAACTGCTGCGTTGCCTCCAGTGTCGGACTGACTCTGCTACTGAAAAATGCGAAGATGCGACAGTCTGACTGAGTTTTCGGAACTGCAGCAAGAATGCTTAGTTTGCTCAGCTGATTTGTTAGGATTTAGCTTTGAGTTTTGGGATGCCAAATGTTTGCGTTTGCTTCAAGCAGCATGGTGTGGCTCTCGGGTCCCAAATCCTCCAAACATTCAACACAGGTTCAACACAGGTTTCATTCCTCCACACATTGATTAAACAGGACCCTGATTGGAAATGTTTCTAGGCAATGGAAATCTGACCATGACATGTTTGCGAGAATAGTTGCGGCTGGATGAGCAAAACATAGCGACGCTATGCGACGCTATCAAATCTTCAAAGGGGCAAAAGTTTCTGCCCGACCTGGATTCTTGTCCGTTTGAAGGATTTCTGCACGTTTGAGGAAAAAAATGGAAAAATGCCCGAAATTGCACGTTTGGGTTTGCGTGCCCTGCCCATCGTCGGTATGCCCTGGCAGGAATTGCTGTTTGACAGGTTTTTGCGGCCGTTATGCGCACGAGTTTGGCACATTTGTTGTGTTAATAGTTTTAAAAATTGTTATTGTGCTTCTTTTGCACGAGACAGACCGTTTCAGCGCAAAGAGGTACAAATCACCAAGTAGTGTACAATGAGCCTTTGTACCCAAAAATTTTGGGTACGAACGAAGGTCCAGGTAATATCATCAAATCCAGTGGTACCCAAACCGCAAACTCCAGCGCCAAGTTACAATGACCGTGCCAGAGCTGGTGCCATAACCGAAGGTGCTGAGGTTAAACTTCCTGAGAAAACCGAGGCAATTCTGAGGCAATTCTGACTCAAGTGATGAATTTCGTGAGTCAGTTTGATCTGTTTGACTCAAGCGGCTAACAGTAAACTCTGACAGTTCTGTTTTTGTTCCAAAATGGCAACTTGTTAGAACAACTGTAAGATTTCGGACGAAATGAAACACAAGATAAGACAATTTGCAATTAGATGTTTGAAGATGTTCGAAATCATCTTCTTGGGTCGTAAATCAATCCACCTGACAGTAACTCTGACAAAACATATTATGACATAAATGTTGAAATATGTTGAAATTCATGAAAAACTTTGCAGACATTCGAGCTGAGGCCATGGCAAGGCAAGTGTCGTATTCTCTCCCGGTGAAAGAGTTCCGTTGGCGGGTTCCACCGTGATGCCAGACATGTTGTCCCCCTAGAACCATCAGAACCAAATGAATCCAAATGATTTGACATGATTTGATCCTCGAAATGATTTTCTTGATTTTCTGAAAATGATTCACCGTCTCTTGACAAGATTGATACAAGATTGATGATTCATATTGATGATTCATTCAGCTCGAGCCAGTCAAAGTCTCACGTTTCTTCAGCTTGCAAGCACCTTGCCAGCACTCACCGTCGCTGTGAATGGCAGCTTAACTCGACCTTTGGGGGATAGGCGATTGTTAAAAACAACGACAACGACAACGACAATCAACGACAAGCTTCGCAACGCAACGTGGAAAAAAACGTTTCCGTGACTGCCGTGACTGCCGTGACTCTTACATCCTCTTGTCTCATGACTCAGATGACTCAGAATCACAAAGACCACAGGAGAGTTACTCCACTTTTAATTTGAGTTTATAATTTGAGTTTATTGAATGTTGACTGATTATTACTGATTATTACTGATTATTTAGTATTTGAGTTTCTTCGGGACTCTGAGAGGCTGGAACGTTCTGAGCATCTCTGAGCGTGCCTGTGTTCTGAACCACGATGTTGTCCTCATACACTTTCTTCTTCTTGTCCTTACAAGATCTTACAAGTAGTGCATTAGGGTTGCCACAGAGCTAACATGCTACTGGCGCACAAGACTGGAGTTGCAATTCCAGTCACAGCACAAATGCTCTTCAGTTGCATTTCAAAGTGCTGCCCAGATGCAATCTTATCCAACGTGATGTTTTCCTTATCTACTGTGAAGATTGCGGCACCTTGCAGCTCCTTCGGCGGGGTCCAAAAGGACCGTAATGACTGGAGTTGACTCGAATCAACCTCGAGATCTGCTCAACAGTTCACGCAGTACGCACGAACGCAGAAAAAAAAAACTAACAGACTTGACTTTAAGCATTCTGTCCATATCTGTCCAGTCTGACTGTCTCTTGGGATCTCTACAGATCTTTACAGGTCATCCTAATGGACTGCTATTGGAGCTGCGTTCCTGTCTGGCCAGTCCCCGTCCTCCAGGGGTGCGACCAAAAAGATCGCCCACCTGTGGTTTGCAAAGACATGTGATTTTTTTACATCCGCATCACAATGACTTGTGATTTATATGTCAACTTTATATTGATTGGCAATTTTATATGATTTATATTGATTTATGTTTTATGTTTTTTATTTGACGAATCATACAGTCCCAACATCCAAAGACGTTGAAAAGCATCCGAGGACCATGCTCTGGATAGGCCAAAAGCCGGCAGAAAACCTCACAACATCTCACAACTATGCTCAAGATCAAAGGTTTGGAAGCAAGATCCAAGTCGAATTCAACATAAAAACACGAGATACATCGAGAAGCAAACTCCACACCAAGCAGCGGCCAAGTGCTGACAGCTGCAGTCTTGTCCACATCCGCAGTTCGGAACGTCCAAGGTCCAGGTCCTCCGAAAATCTCAGATGTAAAAAAGCGATAGATTGATATTATATTTGTTTAATGAATTATATGAATTTAAATGATATGAAATATATTATTATTATATTTTTAATGTTTGAACATGTTATAAATGTTCGGGTTTACATGGCGCGCACATGGTGCGCACATGGTGCGCACATATGCGAAAAGAGGATTTGCAGCACTGTAAAACTGAATAATTTCGCCATCGAAAAACCGTGTCGATGCTCAAGGCCGTCTCGCAGATGCCAACTATTTGGGCTACTCAGATTTTGACATCTCTGATCTTCAGATTTCACAATATGTTACGTATAAAATCTTTAAACATATTAATAATTATAGTTATAATATTATTATTTCTTATATTATCTTATCACATTGAGAAAAGGAAAGGACCCAGCTGACTCAGCTGGGACTACTTCATCATACGACTTCCTTGGTAAAGTTCAAAGATGCTCAAAGCAATGCGGCTGTTCCGGGCTGCTCCGGGCTGCTCCGGCCTGACACCTGAGGAGCATTGGTGGTCGTGGGATTCGTTGAAGACAGTGAGCAGCATATCTTCGAAGTTGATGCCACTAAACCTGATACAGACTGATACAGATGCTTTTAGAGCGCGGCAAAGTCAAACGAAACATGAACATGATGATTTTTACTTTGTAAAGAACCCGGCTCCTGGAACCCCTTTCAGGACTTTTTCTGAATCTTCTACCACTTGCCGCAGACATGGCAATAGTGTGTCAAGTTTGGACTGACATTGGCAACCAATTCTCAGCAATTCTCAAGTTCAAGAACTTCTTTCAGATCTTTCAGAATATTCAACATTTTTCAACGATATTGAACGTGAGGTAAGTCTGAGCAAGCAGTAATCTGTGATGCAAGAGGGGGCCCCTGCCAAGCGACTCTGAGTCGGATGGGGATCGCATGAGTTACGAGCATGTCGACAGAATTTAGAATCGACTCTGGTATAATCAATACATAATTCTTGTCGATTATGCAGATTATGTATTGATCCTTGTTGCCTAACGGACAGGTCATGACAGGTCATGACAGGTCGATCAAAAATTATTATGACAGGCGAGCGTTCTGGGATTTCTCGGGCGCATTTCTGAGATCATGGCCCTTCTTTCTGTGCATCGAACAGCGTCAAAGGTTTGGGTGCATCCCACCTGTCTACACTAGACATCACTAGACAGCAACATCACATGATTCACATGCACACTGGCCTGGTATTTGTATGTATTTGTTGCATCATTTTGCATTGAATGTCAACAATTGTCAACAATTGTCAACATATTTCGTATGTCAACGGACTGGCGAACTCTGCATATCTTTACATGGATGGCTTTACATAGCTACACCATGCTGCACCGTTGCATTGACTTTTCTGCCCCTGCATGTTCATGCACTACGGTCTTGGCAACATTTGGCAATCACACGCTTGTTTGTGTATATGTGATTTTCTGTGTGTCTTAAACTTCGCCTGGAATAATTATCTTGAATACACCTGAATTCAAAATGTCCAAGGCAATAATTTGCGAATCATGTGTGAATCATGTGTGAATCATTCACTTCAAAATTCGTACAATGACGGCCCGAGCCAGCATCCAGCGTCGTTGATCTGGTCAGCTCTGCAAGGTGGCTGATTTTGTGGATTCCTTCCGGGTACAAGCAAGCTGTGGGGCCTGTGGGGGAATGGATGGCTTCTGGCACAGAATTGACAGAATGTCATGTTCTAAAATTCTAAAGTATTCCAAAGATCAATGATATTCAATGCTTCTAGATCTAGGGAAACACCCCTTAAGGAATCACAAAACAAAGAATGAGGACGGAGACTGCAGGAGTGCAATGTGGTCACATGGTCAAACCAACTTGACAAGCACATGATGCAAACAATCAAAAAGAATGCAAGAATTGAATAAAACTGGCTTGAGTACTCTTGACATATCGCTCTGGGCCCTGACCGGATTTGCGATTCGGACATGTTCTTGTGAAAAATCGTTTCCCTCGCGCGAGAGGTCATCATCATTACCTTTGAAACAGCCAAGCAACTTCTGAGAATGTCGAAACATGCTGCTGCTCCATTCGTTTGAACATTTCAACCACTGAAGCATGCTGAAGTATCATCATTTCAGGTCTCTCAAGGTCTCTTGTGATGACGGAAACCGCTGGTGACGGAAAGCACTGGAACAGCGCAGGGAGTTGATGTAGCTTTGCCCTAGGGGAGGGGTGTGGGGGGTGCATGGAGCGTGTGCAAACCCAGTTTTTGATTTGCAGAACATGTGGGTGCAGTTTTGGCTCCGTCGGCCTATTTTTGTCCATGATGGACGCTTTTGGAATGTTGGGCCAGAGTTGGGACCATGTTGGGCTTCTGTTGGGCCATTTTGGGTTATGTTGGCACCATACTGGGCTCATGGTGATGCATTTTTGGAGTATTTTGGGGTCTGTGTTGGCCAGAGTTGGGACCATATTGAGCTAATCTTGGGCCATTTTGGGCTATGTTGGGCCATTCTGGGCCACATTGGCATCATTTTGGGCTCATGTTGAGCCATTTTAGAACATTTTGTTGGCCTTTGCTGATCTTTTCTTAAGCAGGGCGTCACAGGGTCAAGAAACCTAAATCTTGGAATGGTCATGGCCATCCAAGGTAAAACTAACATGAACTAACGTTATAAATACATAGATGCTCCAGGATTAAAAAGGTCATGAGCTAATGACGGCAAAAACAAATGGTGAAAAAAAAATAATGGTTCCCAAATAATTATCAGTTTGAAGTTGGGTGGGTCATGGTGGTTACAAGTTTGATGGGCCCGGCCGGGCAGGGCATCACAGGGTCAACGTTTAAAGGTCATGACCATGAGGGCGAACCAATGGGTAAAGGGGTAGTGTAGTGATTGGCTGGTTTGGAGTCCAAATTCTTGGATAAGATGCCATGGCAGTATCTTTTTAATACTTGTCCAAATTTGAAATATCATTGGAACATATGATGAAAAATGACACACTTGGTTGCAACGATCCAATTAACCAACCACAGCATTTTTTGCGAGGCCCTGCCCCCCCCCCCACAGTTCCTTCCAAACCCTGTAGCCACCATGACCGCCATGACCCCACTCAAATGACCACGACGTTTCAATATTTCAAATTTGGACAAGTATTAAAAAGATACTGCCATGGCATCTTATCCAAGAATTTGGACTCCAAACCAGCCAATCACTACACTACCCCTTTACCCATTGGTTCGCCCTCATGGTCATGACCTTTAAACGTTGACCCTGTGACGCCCTGCCCGGCCGGGCCCATCAGACTTGTAACCACCATGACCCAGCCAACTTCAAACTGATAATTATTTGGGAACCATTATTTTTTTTTCACCATTTGTTTTTGCCGTCATTAGTTCATGACCTTTTCAATCCTGGAGCATCTATGTATTTATAACGTTAGTTCATTTTAGTTTTACCTTGGATGGCCATGACCATTTCAAGATTTAGGTTTCTTGACCCTGTGACGCCCTGCTTAAGAAAAGATCAGTTTGTCTTGGACTTGGGCATTTTTGCGTCGGTGAATTTTCGTCCATCCAAGGCGTTTGCAAAAAAACACCGTAAATACCAAGAAAAACACCATTATCGGGCTGCGTTGCAAATGTTTTTGATGTTATTTTTTGTTTGCGTTTTTCCTTCTTTCGGCATGCTGCACTTAGCCTATGCTTGCCTGATCATGCCTGATCTCAAGCTCATGGGGGGGCATGGAGCGTGTGCAAACCAAATTTTTGATGACGGAAAGTGCTGGAACAGCGCAGGGAGTTGATGTAGCTTTGGGAGGGGGGTGGGAACGCCATGCCGCCATGGAGCGTGCAAACCCAATTTTTGTTTGAAAGAAAATATGGGTGCATGTTTGGCTGTGTCGGCCTCATCTTGGCCCATGTTGAAATATGTTGAAATGTTCCATCTCTTTTCACAGTTTTTGTTGTCTTGGCACTGCTTGCACTGCTTGCATTGCTTGCACTGCTTCACTGGTTTCACCCTGATGATCCCTGATGTTTGGGTAATTAGTGGTAATTAGATGTAATATGATGTAATTAGTGTGTGTTCATGCTTCGTTGGTGTCTTTGGATCTGGATTTCTTCTCTAGTTTAAGAAACTGATACAAAAGTCTTTGTGTCAGATGGATCACCTTGATATTGGGTTTTTTTCTGACCGTATCATCTGTGTATCTTTTGTATCTACCTAATTTGACAGCGGAACGGTGGTAGTTTGCTACCCAAGATATTTAAATATATTTAAATGCTTTCCGTCGTTTGCCGCGCTGGTTTTACAGAAGTGATCTCTTATGATCTCTTCAAATCCTGGTGCCACAGTGTGCCATTTCTGCCGTCTTCCATCTGTTGATGTTTTGAAGTTTTGACACGGTCCAACCCGGTCCAACTCGGCCCCTGACTTGTCCGTGCTGATCGGCAATCATGGCATACACACTGGGACTGAGCGGTAGTCCACCCAAGGCCTCCGTTGACACCGGACATGACCGGACATGACAACCATGAGACATGGCAACCTGGCGCACAACCACCCTATGGCCTGTGATATCACATATCCAAAGATCAACAAAGCATCTTCAGATCTCTCCAGCCCATCCTATCAAAACTTACACTCTAAAAATCTGTACAATATACAAATCTCTATAAATCTCTACGATTCAACACAAACTCATGTGCAGAGGCCCATTGTCATCTTACATCATGTTACATTTGTAAATGTCTCTGGATTGTTCCGTGACTGTTTCCAGTCTCTCCAAGTCGGCCCCATTCTGTGCTCTCAACTGACGTGTACATACGTGTGCTGGATTTTACGGATTGTACACAGCATTGCACCATGTCAGACATGTCAGACATGTCAGACAGCTTGATCAGCTCAAACAGAGACAGCTTGCGCCTCGCCCAAATACGTCATGTTGACCTCATAAAGTGGCGTGTCGTGGGCACTACCCAGAGATTTGCCATGCTTCGAATGCTTCGAATGCTTCGAATGCTTCGAGCTGCGAGATGGAGCATATTGAGGTCAAATAATTCAAACATAGAGGTCATATCAAGTCATATCAAGTCATATCATGTTGGTATCGTGATGTTTTTGATTTTTATTTTTCATATAACCTTTGATCCGTTTGATCTGACAGACCACATACCAGCCATACCAGCATATCAAGCTATATTAAGCTATATCAAGGTATATGAAAACATATGAAAACCAGTAAATGAATATCAATGAATATCAATGAATACCAGTATCCTATGACATGTCACATCATGTCATCATGTCATCATGTCACATTTCATCCACTGCTCCATTTCTCGATCTTCCCGAGTCTTTTCGTTCTCTGATCTTTTGCAAGGCACCGTCATGGTCACTGCACCCATCGGTTCCTGAGCGAAGCGGTCAACAGAAGGGTCACTTTGTTTGTAGGAAGCGGGTTTCTACGATCTCTCATAAATGACATGATCATGACATGATTGATCATGATTGATCGCGGTTGATGATTGATTGTACATTGTACATGTTCATCATGTTCATCATGTTGATGCTAGTGGCATCGGAAGGCTGCAAATGGCCAGGACGGCCACGATTTTGAGATTTTGGGGCCCCAAACTAAGTTCTCGCCGTTCAGCCTGTACGCGATGGCTGAAGCCTGGAGAGACAACTTGAGGGACACCAAGAGTTTTAGAGCGCAAGTGGTCTGCCTGACTTTTCGTATCTGTTCGTCTATCTGTCTTCTTCATGCCTATCGTGACAATAATAATATGCTGTCATGCCGATAGATTATTGTCAAAATACTATATATATATATATATATCATATATATATATATATAATAAATTATAGTAATATTATATAATATTCAATAATTATACAAAAACATCAGATCTCTTTAGACCTCTTTGGATCTCTTTAGATCATCGTTTGTTCGTTTCTGGTGGCATGAATTTCCCTTCCTGAGATGCGAGATCTCCAGTGGTGCGGCTTTCTGCTGCTGGTGACCAAAAGACTGGCCTGCAGCGAAGCGTTGGCGAAGCGGAGCATGGCAGAGATTCTGTCTCAATTTTTCACATGCTCTCGAAGATTGGCCCAAAACACACCATGGTCTAGTCACTTAATTTAGTTGAATGCTACAAGAATGCTACAAGGCTACAAGTATGGTATTACTTGGTATTACATGGTATTACTGGTAATTAGTCGCTTCGCGTCCACTTGGAGACTTGGAACCACATTGATCTTAACCAGTCAAAACACATCGTAGGGTTATGCAATGTGTCCGACGTTTCCGAGCAGCCCTGTTTTCCCATGTCTTCCCATGTCTTTCGAGCCTCGAATTCTGAGATTTGGCTTTCTCTTTCTTCTCTTTCTTCTCTCTCGAGCTTCTGCATCTTCTGCTTCGCATGCGTCTCCAGATTCTCCAGGCCGCCAATCAAAGCGGGCACGGAGTTCTTCGGCGGCGGACCTTGCAGGTTGCACTCGAATCGACCGGATCCACTCGACTTCCAGAGATCCATGACCAAGGCTGGATCGTTGCCGTAGTATTGGAGTCGCGTATGAAAGTGCGGGGTGAACAACACCGTCTTGCTCTCTTCAAAGTTGTCGATGCCACTGCCTAGACTGGCGTAGTGCAAACCTTTCTGAATTTCCTCCAAGTCGATCGTCAGTTCTTCCAAGTCTTGCACATTTCGAGGCTCATCTGAAGAGTATGAGTATGCCTTGCCAGTACTCGTAGGCTGCGGAAGCATCAAAATGGTCCGGTTGTCATAGATGGAGTAACGAATGCCATTGCAATTTGGACAAATCGGTGATGTCTTGCAGACCTTCATGTCTTTGAACTCAGGCACTTTGGAGGAAGTGCTCTTCAACTCAGCAGAATCAGCTCGTTGAAAGATGCTTGCAAAGATCTCCATCACGTTATTAGTCCTGGGAGGAAAAGTAGGAAAAAGTGACCACCTGGTGGAAATTTAACGGATTACCACGGATTACTACGGTTGCCAACAGTCTTGGCGTTGGTCCTCGACATCTACGTCTACAAAGTCTACAACACTTCGCAAGGTGACACCAAGTGTTGTATACTTTGCATGTATGACTTTGGGTTCCTTCAGGATCTGATATTGCTTGAGCATGGCTTCGGGTTGTTGCTGGGCTTGGGTCAGGTTCACTCATCATCTGCGCCCCTATTCAAAAGTATTCAAAGTTCAAAGACAATCTTTCGAGCAACTATAGCCCGTTATAGCCCCAAGAGCGGTTTAGGGGCACAGACGATGAGGGAACCTTGGGTCACTAGATCCGCATTTCGTGGCAAGGTTATTCATTGGTGCCCGAATTGACCGGAAATCGTCGTCTGGCTGAGTCTAGCTTAATGCTTGCAAGGCTTACATGAACCGATATGAACCGGAAATGGTCAAATCATCGACATCACTTCGATTCACTTCGATGCACTTCGATGCACTTTGTTCATCTATGTTCATCTTAGCTCTGTGTATCACATGACTATCACATGACTCGTATGACTCGTTTGAATGCAACTGCCAAGGCCAAGGGCTGCCCATCCTCAGAAGCTCGCAATCCATGGAGGAGGCTACGCTACTGGCCATCGCCACAAAGACACTCCTGCAAGATCTGCAAGCAGCTTCAAAACAGTCAGCAATCCGACAGAATCTGCCAGAATGCCAAATCATTTGGACAAACCAAAAAACATGCAGAACAGAAACTGGCGGACACGCTGAAAAGCATTGGAAACGCTCCTTTTCTATCCTTTTCTATCATTCCATGTGTTTCTCTTCCTATAGAGCGTTCACATGGCTCAAAGGCTCGTTATGGCTTTTGCGGGGCTTTTGCTGTCCCGTTTCACCATGTTTCACCTGTCGCTCTAGTTATCTCATGTTATCTCTAGTTCCGTGCGGTTCACGTGTGCCTGGAACATGCCTCCTGCAGAGATGTCATAGCCCCAGAGCAGCCTGTCGGGTCCTGCCACGCGACACTTGGCCCATCTCTGGACATCCAGAGACATCCAGAAACTAGACGCATCATGACGCATCGCATCAGCCCCACTATCCCCACTTCAACTACTAGAAGATACAACAACTCGTGTTCCAATTCTAGCATATTCTAGCTCTTCACGCGTTTGAATCTGCCATTTGCACGCCGGAAACAACATGTTGTAATGACTGTAGTGAATTGTTGTGAGTGGTGGATTCTGATATATGCTGAGACAGACTGGGTATGCTGGGCAAGTCACTCTTGTGCCATTTTTGATATTTGTGTGTGTGTGTATGTCTTGGCGACCATGTCAAACACTGTCAGAGCATGTCACTCCTCTACTGCTAAGGCATCATTCGCATCACTCCCATCATTCGCATTCCTCACAGTCAAGGTGTGGCCACTGTGTGGCCGTGCAGCAAAGGCAGGGGCGGCCAAGGCAGCCCATATGAAGATCATGGAGACATGGCCGAAATGGCCGAAAACAGACAACGTCAAGGGCTGTGTCGTTCTGGACCTAGCCTTCGAGCCATGTCAGGCTTGAAATGATTGAAATCAACGAATCCAAACTTGATCCTTAAAATTCCTGAAATACATTTAAATACTCCAAATATTCTCCAAATAATTAATCCAAATGACTTGAGGTGCCATCTTATTCCATCTTTGACAAACTGCTATCATTTTCATTCTGCCGCTTTGAGAAATCTCGTGCGGTCATGCATCTGCTGCTAAATTCTATGTCAGTGACCTTGGTAGTCCGGAAGGAAAGAACTCTGGGTCACCGATTGCGCCGCACTCCGTGCAGTGCAAATCCACTGGCTCTCAGCGGATGTAAGCGGCTCTGGGTGACGAGCACCTTCAGAGCAAAATCGTTGTCGCAGGCCCTGTACAAGTGCCACGGTCATAGAACGACAAAGAGCGCTGGTGTACTCCTTGGCCGCTGCCGTGCGGAAGGATCCATCACGCTGCTTCCCCATGAGCTTCGTTGAAGGGCGCATTCTCCACAGTTCCATGCCATCTCGCAACGCATTCTCCACTACATCAGGATGTCCTAGGTTCAAAGCCCTGAGACATGTAGGTTTCGTACCAACCGATCCAAACAAAAATTGTTCAATGTAGTGGCGGTAGGCGAATGGGAGTTGCATGATCCATCGCTCATGCACTTCTGTACGCCAAACCGATGCGCGCTCTTCATTCTGGTTTTCCCATGGGTGTTCCATAATGGAGCCGCCTCCTTGTAGGACCGTGGCGACCTCCAACCGCCAGGAATTCACCAACAGCTGCGTACCTGTAGTCGTCTGCCGCAATTCCTTCCCTGTATGAGAGGGCAGCGTCCAAGGCAGGCAAGCCGAACGTAATGGACGAGGGCCAGTTTGATCCGGTAACTCCAAGTTCCTAGCTGCTGACCATGTTTCGCATGGTGGTCCAGTCAGGATCCCCGCAATGAGGCCTTTCTGCACCAGGGACATCACAAGATTGTAGTTGTCACCTGATGCCAGATTGCCAACGACAGGGTCAACAGCTGTATCCAGTGATAGCATACAAAACTGCATCCCAGGCCAAATCTTGTGGCCGATGTGCTCTAACCACCAGTGGCAGTCTCCAATGCGTCTGCGACCACTGTAGAGATGCAAGATCCACACCACTTGGGTCGCGTCCACAAGCTGCACAGGCACCCCACAACACGAGGGCACCGTAAAGCGACAGCGCACAATGGGAGCAAGCAAAGCATGTTGAGCAAGGACTGGATCGCAAATGGCTTCACGTTCATCAGAGACAACTGCAGCTGGGTCATGAGAGGCGTCATCAAGCGGTTGATATGCCTCATCCATGCGGCGCTTCCAGCAAATAAGCTTACCAATCGGAGAGTGGAAAACTAGTTGACGAACTTCACGAAAAGCACGGCCAAACGTGTCAACGGCCACAGTGGGGAAACGTTCATAACGCATGTCATCCAGCCACCACAAACTTACTGCCCACGAGCCCATGCCTTCCTGCGTAGCTGGAAGATCTGCTCCATCAGCCAGTGTCGCAATGCGCCAAATAAAGGTCTCGAGGGAGGTGAAGCGACGAAGAGCGTCGTCACATAGAGCACGACAAAGCCTGCCCCATTCCGGATCATAGTCAAACGTCATGTCTTCACGCATCCACGCCCGACGCCATGTCACATCTGCATCAGCTCGAGAGCGACATTGCTCGGCTGTCTGTGTCACAACATGAGGGACCGGGCGAGCTGGAAGACGAGCAGGTAGACGATCTGTATCTCCTTCATCAATGGAGATGGCTTCTTGCCATGGCGCCATGGTCCACGTCAGGCGCTCATAGCATCCAGCAGGTTGACGTCTGCTAAGCCGCAGATGGATTTGTAGTCGATTGACAGTCCAAAAACACTGCCAGCATGCTGGACATGTTGTCGAGGACATAAACAGTCTCTCTGCTGTGGCTTCACCATGTGCACACCACGCATGGGCTTGAAGTGCTCGAGAACTGGCAAATACTTTGTCACATAAACGGCAAGCAAACCCATCCTGTTGCAAAAGTGGCATCCCCTGAGCTGGGTCAACTTCTGCTTGAGCTCCTCCACGAAGAAACGCCCGGCGCAGCTCATAGTGCAATGTCATCGTGGTGCCGATTGTTTGGCCCTGCAGGAGGGCTAAACGGTAAATTCGACGTACATGTTGTGGCCCACGACATTGAGACGCAGCAAGCCACTGGCAAACTTGCTCAACAGAGTCCGTCATCGGCTCACCTGCATAGAATTGGGGATCGATCGTGTTGGCCCATCTGATAGCTTGGCGCAATGCTACAAACCAAGAGTCAGGCACTGCAGCACTGGCTGTCACACACTCGTGCAATTCACGTGGAGCATCTGCAATCCAATGAAATGCATACAACAATCTGAGTTTTGCTAGGTGCTGCACAATTGTTGGAAGATTCCAATCCAACAATAGATGTTGATCGGTAAACTGATCTGCACTCCAGAATCCGTTTTGAACGATGGATCGAATCCATCGAAGGTATGGAGCCGAAAGACGATGCACTTGAGCTACGGTCAAAAGTGGCCAGTTCCCGGCACCGTGCAACATGACGGGCAAAATCAATGCTTCAAGCAAGCGCAAGCGCGTCTTCACGGAGAGATGTTTGTTCATCAGAATCGTCTTGCGCACTTGTCGATGAGCTTGCAAGGCACGGCTGACTCTATGTTTAATCTCAGAGTCAATGCCACCATCTGATTGAAAGTAGGTTCCTAAATGCTCATATTGGGAGACACATTGCACCTGCTGATGTCCATCTGGCAATGGAATGCGAGCAAAGTGGTCAAAGAAAAGCTCCTTTCGACATTCCGGCGCCTTGACACCACGAAATGCAGGAACCACTTCCGTCTTGTTCTTCTTCAGGTTGATCTGGAGGCCATACTGAGCACAAACCTGTATTGTAGTAGAAAGAGTCCACTGAATCATAGATTGCAACTGTGTAGACTCCTGAGCCACAACCGGAATGGCTAGGTCATCAACCCATGAAACCGGAAGGGCACGCAGCCCAAGTTGGCAGAAGGCATTCTGTAGAGGGAGATGCTGATCACATTGACTCTGAAGATCACGCAAAACCAACGACATAAGGGCATTAAAAGCCACATCAGCCAGTGGGCTGCCAGGCCGACTGCCTCGCTCAGTTTGATGGGTGAGTTCGCTTTGCCCCAACGTGTACCATGTGTGACAATGGCCATCTTGAAGCAAGCGGGCAACGGTGGGATCCATGTGCTTGTCCACCTCCATGCTATGGGTCACTTTGGCATCAATCGCGTGAATATCAAAGCCCGCGGAAACTAAAACTTCAACCAGACGAGGATGGAGTGGTCCGGCACGATGGAAGATGAATTCACGGATCATAGAGTGAAATGCACTGCTGATGTCTACAAAGATGACCG